ACCACCAAGCACCACGAGGGCTTCACCAATTGGGGGTCACCAGTGTCCTGGAACTGGAATTCTGTGGATACAGGGCCCCACCGGGACCTGGTGGGAGAGCTGGGAGAGGCCCTCAGGGAGAGGTGAGGCCCTGGCAGGGAGCTCTGCTCTGAGAGCAGTGAATGCTCCTGGCTCTGCTTGACAAACCGCAGAAAACCCTGTGAAAAATGGAGTGCTTGCAAATGATGAAAAATAATAATGCCAGTAATTCAATTTCCACTGCTTCCTAATCCCCACTGAAGCCTAACTCTCCCCTCTGTGTTTTGTCCTTCAGCAACCTGCGTTACGGGCTGTATCACTCCCTGATGGAGTGGTTTAACCCTCTCTACCTCGCTGACAAACAAAATGACTTCAAGACCCAGAGCTTTGTTTTAAAGAAGACGATGCCAGAACTTTATGATCTTGTCTTAAAGTAAGAGCCACAACCAGTTCAGAATCACCAGCATTTCCTGGTTTCAGTTCTGTAGAGAAAGGTGCAGAGTGGGTGCAAAGAAGAGAAATGTTGATTTTTGCCGAGGCAAATTCTCTTTGCTAAGCAGTAATGATTTGTGGTAATTAGAAAAGGGGTTCAGTTCTAACCTGTGGAAGGTCTAATCTGTAGAATAACCAGGGACAAATTTTTCCTGCAATTCCCTTTAATCCTGCCTTTGTGCAGGGTGGCTGGAAGTGGAACAAACTGTTCAGTATTTAGTAGAATAGAAAAGTGATTTCACTGGGAATTTTCATCCTTGTCTTGCTTCCCCTTGCTGACAAAAATAAAAGGCTTGGGCTTGTGGGTCATTGTCCCATCTCAAGAATGTGCACTGAAGTGCCAGATTCTGGGTTTTTTGGAAGAACTGCACCCTGTTTTGAGCTGTGGATCTACACCTTGTTCTTTGCTGCTGCAAGAACCTCCCGTAGAGCTTTGTGTGAAGCAGAAAATGAAGCAAAAACCTCCTGGTGATGGCAGGCAGTGGGAAGGGGAAGAAACAGAGCGTGGCAGGAGCAGATGAGCCTTTATGAAACAACTTCTGTCTCCCTTAGATACAAACCAGACCTGATCTGGTCGGATGGGGACTGGGAAGCTCCAGATTCCTACTGGAATTCCACCTCTTTCCTTGCCTGGCTCTACAACGACAGCCCTGTGAAGGTACCAGTGCCTGCTGCCCCTCCTGGCTCTGGGTGGGTGTGGGAGGGCAGGAGGCTGTGGGGTGTGGGATCAAACCAGAAACCTCCTGCACATTTGGTGTTTTATTCTCTGACAAAAAGAGAGCCTGGGCTGTGCTGCTGGGACAGCTCCAACCTTTGATGGACGCTCATCTTTGCTGCCTCAGCTCCTGCCTGAGCAGAGGGAGGCGTTCAGCCTTCTCAGGAGGGTTTCCATTACACTGGGAATGAATTTTTGGTGCTTCCTCAGGGGGGTGCCTGCCAGCTGGACAGCCCAGGAACAGAAGGATCTGTGCCCTGAGCTGTTTTCCTTCTCTCAGGACACCGTGGTTGTCAATGACCGCTGGGGTCGGGGCTGCTCCTGCCGCCACGGGGGTTTCTACAACTGTGCTGACAAGTTCAGGCCGGGCACGCTGCCCCAGCACAAGTGGGAGATGTGCTCCTCCCTGGACAGGCTCTCCTGGGGCTACCGCAGCAACATGAGCCTGCCCGAGGTCATGGATGAAATGAGCATGATCGAGGTGAGAAACCTGACCCGAACAGCCGGGGGGGATTGCTGGGAGGGAGGGAGGGGCTTCTGGGTTAAACTGCTCCGTGTCTGTGTCTGAGGTGAAGATAATGTTATTTTGCTTTATCTGCCGCAGGAGCTGGTGCAGACTGTGAGTTTGGGTGGCAACTACCTCCTCAATGTGGGACCTACAAAAGAAGGGGTGATTGTCCCCATCTTCCAAGAGAGACTCCTGGCCCTTGGGAGGTGGCTGGGCACCAATGGAGAGGCGATTTATGAGTCCCAGCCTTGGAGGGTGCAGATGGAGAACACCACAGACACTGTCTGGTGAGGGCCCTGCTGCTCAGACCAGCTGAGCTGGTGTTTATTTCTTACCTTTTCCTAAATTTGGAGCTGGGGGCGGTGGGTGACCCCTGTGTGGTGACAGAGGGCAGAATTGTGTTCTTGTGCTGTCTGGGAAGGTGAGGTTTGTGCCCTTCCCCTGCTGAACTCCTGCTCCCCCAGGTACACCTCCAAGGGACCCATGGTCTTTGCCATCTTCCTGCTCTGGCCTCGGGACAATGTCCTGCACCTGTCCTCACCCATTGCATCCCCAGGCACACAGGTGAGGGACTGAGCACACACTGAGAGCATCTGGGGGCATTTGGGGGTGGGAAGGGCCAGCCTGGATTTGTTCAGGAGCTGGGGGAGTGGGGAGGTGTGGTGGTGTTCACTGGGGTCTGAGGATGAGGGAAGAGATGAGGATCTGACTCCATGTTTCAGAAGGCTTGATTTATTATTTTATTATATATTATATTAAAACTATACTAAAAGAATAGAAGAAAGGATTCCATCAGCAGGCTGGCTAAGAATAGAAAAAGAAGGAATGATAACAAAGGTTTGTGGCTCGGACCAAGTCAGAGTCTGAGCTAGCTGACTGTGATTGGCCATTAATTAGAAACAACTCTGAGACCAATCCCAGATGCACCTGTTGCACTCCACAGCAGCAGATAACCATTGTTTGCATTTTGTTGCTGAGGCCTCTCAGCTTCTCAGGACAAAAAGATCCTAAGGAAAGGATTTTTCAGAACATCTCATGGCTACAGGGAGGGTGTGTGCTGTGGGCTCCTGGCAGCACCCCAGGCTGTTCCCCAGGCTTTGGCTCATGTGGAACGTGGCACAGGAGCTGCCAGCGAAGATTCCAGTCTCTCCTGGGGTGTGTTGATCCTGCTGTTGCAGGGGAGGGCAGCAGGAGTGGCTGTCCTGCAGCCCAGGTGCAGTGCCCTGCTGGTGGCACATGTCACAGTGACGCACACGTGGCAGTGGCCTTTGCTCTGAACAAACAGGGGCAAAGCATCAGCAACAAACAAACCCCAAACAACAAACTGCAGCCTGCTGTGGCCTCCAAACACCCCTGTGCCACCTGAGCCATGCCTGGGGACCCCAAACAACAAACTGCAGTTTGCTGTGGCCTTCAAACACCCCTGTGCCACCCCCTGTGCCACCTGAGCCATGCCTGGGGACCCCAAACAACAAACTGCAGCCTGCTGTGGCCTTCAAACACCCCTGTGCCACCCCCTGTGCCACCTGAGCCATGCCTGGGGACCCCAAACAACAAACTGCAGCCTGCTGTGGCCTCCAAACACCCCTGTGCCACCCCTGTGCCACCTGAGCCATGGCTGGGGACCCCAAACAACAAACTGCAGCTTACTGTGGCCTCCAAACACCCCTGTGTCATCCCCTGTGCCACCTGAGCCATGCCTGGGGACCCCAAACAACAAACTGCAGCTTGCTGTGGCCTTCAAACACCCCTGAGTCACCCCTGTGCCATGTGAGCCATGGCTGGGGACCTGCAGGGGCTCTGGGCTGTGCAAATGAGGCTGCTGAGCCCCAGCTGAGTGTCCCCTTCCTTCCTTCCTCTGCAGGTGACACTGCTGGGCTTTGCTGGCAGTCTGGAGTGGCAGGTCCAGCCAGGGGCAGGGATGCTCATAACCCTGCCCTACATGCTGCCATCTCCCCTCCCTGCCCAGCCTGGCTGGGTGGTGAAGCTTGAGGGGGTGAAGTGATGCCTGTGGGGGTTCACAGCATCTCCCAGTGCCTTTGGTTTTGATTGAAGCCAAGAGGAATTTTGTGTTTCACATTGAATACATGATTTTTCACTTGAGAGAATCTCTCCTCCAGTTTCTGTTGCCTTGTGTCACTTCAGTGTTGGTTGGAACAGCTCTGATCAGCTGCTCCCATGATGAATAAATCTAATGGAACCTTGCTGGAAGAGATCATCTATAAAAAATACACAAATCCATCAACAAACTTTTATTGGTATTCTGCTGGACACAGCTACAACAAAAGACTTTGTTCTTAGTGAATTGAAGAGACTCCACCGTTGTGAATTGCACTCCTGAACTTGTGAACTTTGGGTTCCAGTGAGAGCATGGCTCCTGCGTGGCTGCTGAACTTCCCAAAAAGGGTTCAACAGTGTGGGTGTGAGTGATGACCGAGAGCACAGGTGCTTGTGAAGGCACCCCAGCACTGCAGGCACCCCAAGCATTGCAGGCACCCCAAACGTTACAGGCACCCCAAGCATTGCAGGCACCCCAAGCATTGCAGGCACCCCAAACGTTACAGGCACCCCAAGCATTGCAGGCACCCCAAGCATTGCAGGCACCCCAAACGTTGCAGGCACCCCAAACGTTGCAGGCACCCCACGCGTGGCAGGCAGGCTGTTTTGTTCCTATCCCAGCTAAACCTGCCAGGACACTCCGAGCCGAGCTGGAGCAGAGCCCCGGGGCCGGGCCACGTGCGGAGCCGGTGCCGTGGGCGCCGTTACCCAAGGGACAAACAAACATCCACCGGCACCGAGTGCCAGGAGCCGCTCACGGGAGCGCCGCCGGTGACGCCGTTACAAACAAAAAAATGCGACAAACGGGGACAACGGAGCGATGGCCTCTGCCTCACTGCCCCATCAGCGGTGCCGGTGACCCCTGGCGCGGAGCGGGGCCCGCCCCAAACAAACAGCTCGGTGTTTACTCGGCGCGCCGAGCACCGGCAAAGCCCCGCTATAAGGGCGCGGCGGGCGCGGCGGCGGGGCAGAGGCGCAGGGGAAGATGCCGCGCTGTGACACGGGCTGCGCGCCGCGGGACGGCGCCTGGGCACAGGGACAGGGACAGGTACCGGGACCGGGGCTGCGGGCGGGACCGGGGACGGAGGGGACAGAGGGGACGGTGCCATGTGGGGCTGCGCTCACGTGACCGCCGCAGCCACGCCCCCAATGCCACGCCCCGGTAATGTCAGGTGTCGGGGGGTGTGTGCGGTCACGTGAGCGCGGCGGACATGGCGGCGCGGCGGCTGCTGCCCCGCTGGGCGGGATCGCTGCGGCCCGTGAGGGACCGGGGACACCGGGAACGGGACAGGGGGACCGGGACTGAGGGACCGGGGACAGAGAGACCAGGGGGAATCGGAACCGGGACAAAGGGAGCGGGGGCACCGGGAACGGGGACAAAGAGACCAGGGGAAATCGGAACCGGGACAAAGGGAGCGGGGGCACCGGGAACGGGGCAGGGGGATCGGAACCGGGACAGAGGGACAGGGGGAGAAAAGAGACCAGGGGATCGGAACCGGGGGCACCGGGAACGGGGGAAAAGGGACTGGGACAGAGGGACCGAGGGCACCGGGAACGGGGGCGAAAGGGACCGGGACAGAGGGACCGGGGACACCGGGAACGGGACAGGGGGACCGGGGGCACCGGGAACGGGGACAGAGAGACCAGGGGGAATCGGACCTGGGACAAAGGGAGCGGGGGCACCGGGAACGGGGGATCGGAACCGGGACTGAGGGACCGGGGGATCGGATCCGGGACTGAGGGACCGGGGGAGAAAAGGGACCAGGGGATCGGAACCGGGACTGAGGGACCGGGGGATCGGATCCGGGGACAGAGGGTCTGAGGGGATCGGAACTGCGGGAAAAGGGACCGAGGGCACCGGGACAGACCCGGACGGGGCCCCCGTGGGGGGATCGGTACCGGGGCCCGGCTGACCGTGCCCTCCGTGCCAGGTGAGCTCCGGTGCGGCGGCGGGCGGGCCGTACCCGAAGCGAGTGAAGGTGGTGGAGGTGGGACCCCGCGATGGGCTCCAGAACGAGAAGGTAACGGCGGCTCCCGGCTCCTCCCGGGGGATTCTCCAGCCAGACCCCCCAAACGCCCCCTGTGCCCCCCAATGGGCAGTATTTTTCTTTAAATACTGCTTTTTATGTTGAAAATTCGCTGCTTTTTATTTCAGCAGTGGAAGAGTTTATTGTGTGAATAATAATAACTTTAAGTAATTTTTCTTTTCTTGTTCTTCTTAGAATCTTGTGCCCACCCCAGTGAAGATCAATTTAATCAACATGCTGTCAGAGACAGGGCTGCAGGTCATAGAGGCCACCAGCTTCGTGTCCCCCAAGTGGGTTCCCCAGGTCAGTGTTCACACAGGATTTGCAGTGCTGTGCTCTGAAAGTGCAGCAATCCAGTGCTTCTGCTGGTTCCCAGCTCCCTGTTACTGGGCAGGAGGAGTTAAAACATCCCAGAGCTTCCCTTTGGACCCTGGACAGGGCAGAGGGACACACAGGTCACACACAGACTCTGTTTGTGCCTGGCTGGGTGACCCCTGGCCCCTCCCAGGCTGCAGCTCTGTTTGCTTTGGGAGGCTCTGATCCCTGCACATTTCTGTTCCCTTTACAAAAGGAGTTTTAGTGCTGATTTTCTGGCAGAAGTGCAGAACCCTCACAGATGTTTCTTTGCTTTGCAGATGGCTGATCACACCGAGGTGCTGCAGGGCATCAGGAAATGCCCTGGCATCAGTTACCCCGTGCTCACCCCAAACCTCAGGGGCTTCCAGGCAGCGGTGAGGGCTGGGGGCACCCCGATATCCCCCTGGGCTCTGCACTGCCCCTGCTCCTCCGCCTGCACCCTTTCCCAGGCAGGCTCAGGGCTGTCCTGCTGGTTTTGCTGCTGAGGGAAGGATTGGGATGCTTGGGGGAAAATGCTTTTGTAAAATGAGAGAGCTGCAGTAGGGATTGCAGATCACAGAGACACTGAGGAGGAGAGCCCCAAGATCTTCAGCTCGAAAGAAGCAAGGCAGATTTATTTAGGAACAGAGGAGTTTCTGTAAAGGGAGGTGTTTATGGGCTGGTTTGAGACTTCAGAGATGCCTCTGAAACCCTTGGATTAACTCTTGGCCATGGAATCATGAAGTTGGGGCTCTGTTTGTCATTTCCCTCACAAGAACAATCCCCTGGCTTTGATTTAAATGCTGGGGTAAAGCTTGGAGCTGCTGATCTCAGGGCTCTGTTCCAGCCTCAGGGGTGCTGTGGTTCCAGTTTGGGATTTTCTGTTTGCAGGTGGCAGCAGGGGCCAAAGAGGTGTCGATCTTTGGGGCAGCATCCGAGCTCTTCACCCAGAAAAACATCAACTGCTCCATCGAGGAGAGCCTGGAGAGGTTTGAGGAGGTGATGAGGGCAGCCAAGGAGGCCAGCATTCCTGTCAGGGGGTAAGGCCTTCCTGCTGCAGCTCACCCACATTCACTTGGGGTCAGATTTTCTTGGCCAGCATCCCACATGGAAGTGCACAGATCACATCCCCATCAGCCCTCTGGGCTCATCTTGGCAAATTTTACACCCATGGAAGGAGAAATTGGTGAAATCCTGTAACCTTTGGCCACGGGAATATAAAAATTGATTCTCCCATCTTGCAGACATGGGAGGTGCACAAGTCCTGACTGGTTTGTCAATAGAATCCCACTGCCCCTTTCCAGCTAAAAGTTTGTTTGTTATTTTTTAACCACAGATACGTCTCCTGTGTCCTTGGATGTCCCTATGAAGGGAAGATTTCTGCAGCTAAAGTTGCAGAGGTGAGTCACTCATGAACACAGCCAGGACTCCTGAGAGGGCTCTGGTTGATTTTGAGGGGTGTGAGGTGGGCACTGGGGATATCCAGGATAAAAGGGGGATATTTAAGGGAATATCCAGGTCCTCAGAGGCTGAAATGGGGAACTGAGGGGGGGTTTGGGTTTTTAATCTCAGAGAGGAGTGGCCAGGGGATTATTGTACAGCAGGAATGAGCTCTGGGAGGGGAGGAGGAGTGTCCAGGGAATTAGGGTGCAGCAGGAATCAGCTCTGGGGATGGAAGGAGGAATGTCCAGGAGATTGTGGTGCAGCAGGAATCAGCTGTGGAAGGGAAGTAGGAATGTCCAGGGATTTATTGTACAGCAGCAATGAGCTCTGAGGAGGGAATGAGTGTCCAGGGGATTTTGTACAGTAGGAATGAGCTCTGGGAATGAGTCCAGGGAATTAGGGTGCAGCAGGAATCAGCTCTGGGAGGGAAGGAGGGGTGTCCAGGGGATTGTGGTGCAGCAGGAATCAGCTCTGGGAGGGGAGGATGCCCTCTGATGCCCTCTGATGCCCTGCTGGCCCTCCCAGGTCTCCAAGCAGATGTACTCCATGGGGTGCTACGAGATCTCCCTGGGGGACACCATCGGCGTGGGCACCCCGGGCTCCATGAGGGAGATGCTGGCAGCGGTGATGAAGGAGGTGCCCGTGGGGGCCCTGGCTGTTCACTGCCATGACACCTATGGCCAGGCCCTGGCCAACATCCTGGTGGCCCTGCAGGTAGGATCCCTGCTCTGCAGCACAAATTCCTGCCAGGGAATTCCTTAAAGGACCTTAGAGCCCATCTTGTGCCACCCCCTGCCCATCTGCCACTGGCCCAGGCTGCTCCAAGCCCACCCAGCCTGGCCTGGGGCACTGCCAGGGATGGGGCAGCCCCACAAATGGAGCAGCCGCCCTTGGGGAGGTTGGGCTTGCTGGGAATTGCAGATTTGTGCTGCCAGAGCAGCCCCTGAGCCGGGCTCTGTCTGCAGATGGGGGTGAGCGTGGTGGACGCGTCCGTGGCCGGCCTTGGGGGGTGCCCCTATGCCCAGGGAGCCTCTGGGAACGTGGCCACAGAGGATCTGGTGTACATGCTCAACGGGCTGGGCATCCACACGGTGAGTGCCACCCCAGGCTCTGCTCAGGGCACTGCACAGGGCAGCAGCCTGGGCATGGTGGGGACAGGACAGGGGCAGTGTGAGATGGGATATCAGGGAAAACATCCCTGGGAGGGTGGGCAGGCCTGGCACGGGTGCCCAGAGCAGCTGTGGCTGCCCCTGGAGTGCCCAAGGCCAGGCTGGACGGGGTATGAGCCACCCTGGGGTGGTGGGAGATGTCCCTCAAGGTGTGTCCTGGGCCTTTGCCATGCAGGGGGTGGATCTGCAGAAGCTGATGGACACAGGCACCTTCATCTGCAATGCCCTGAACAGAAAAACCAACTCCAAGGTGTCTCAGGCCTCCTGCAGACTGTGACACTGACTGGGAATTCTCCTTGGATCAAGAAATCGAGGATCCAGCCCTGGCTGGGATTCCTGTCTGACCTCCTGAGCTCCTTCCCAGCTCAGCATTTGAGAGGAAGCTCAAAATCCACCAGAATTAGGAAGAAGTGAGAGGATCTCGTGTTAGATTGTGTTCTATTGGACCTTGAGCCTGTCCCCACGTGCCTTGGAGAGGGGAGGATGTGGAGGGGCACAGGAGAGCCCTGAGCACAGATTTTGCAGTTGGAGCTCAGCTCCAGCTCAGGCTGTCCTTTCTCCCCTCTCTCCCCTCCACAAACAGCCCAAGGCTGAGCCCAAACCTCCCCTGGGGCCCCCTCAGCCTTCAGGGCTGTGTGTGCTGCTGCTCTGTGTATCTGTTGTAAGATACCCTGGCACACCAGGAGTAATAAACACGTTATTTAATAATCTAAACTGTGAAAATTTGATTCAGCTGAACCAACAAAGGAGCTTTGGCTGCTGGTTTGGCTCCAGGTGCCTCTTGTGCGTGGAAATTGCACCATGGTGGGCTGGGGGTGAGGAATTCCTTCCACCCTGGGAGCAGAGAGTGAAACTCCTCAGTGCTCAGGACCTTGGGAACCACCCCCAGCTCTTTTTAAAGTAATTTATGGAGCACTTTATTTGTGAGACTGGAGAGAAGCACAGGAACTTTGTCCTTTGAGGGCCAGGACAGGTGTGAGGCTGCGTGTGCCTCCTCTCCACATGACTGCAATAAACTGTAACAAAAAGTTACCAAACCTTTGCTAATGAACGCTGCAGAAATGGGGCGGAATGGGGCAATAATTCGGGATTTGGGGCAATAATTCGGGATTTTGGGGCAATAATTCGGGATTTGGGGCAATAATTCGGGATTTGGGACAATAATTCGGGGTTTTGGGGCACCGGCCTCCTCCGGCCGCCAGGGGGCGCTGCGGCACTGAGCGCCCCGCGGTGGCCCCGCCTCCTCCCACCAATGGCCGCCGTCCCCCGCGGAGTTTTGTCCCCGCCGCCGCCCCGTAGCCCTGACACGTTTCCATGGAGGAGCCGCGCGCGTGGCGCCGAGGGGCGGGGCCAAGGCCCGGCCTTAAAGGGGCCGCGCCCCTCACGGGGCTGAGCGGGAGCGGCGGCAGCAGCGGGTGAGAGACCGGGGGGGAACCGGGGGGATCGGCAGGAACGGGCAGGGGAACGGGTGTGCTGTCCTGCCCTGCTGCCTTTAGTAGGGACACCCAAACCCCCGCGGCTTGGGGCACCCCCGCGCTCTGGAGCGATTCCGGTCCCCGGTTCTGCCCCTCGGCCCCGGGACCCTCCGCTCCTCCCGGGCCGTCCCCGCTCCCGGCTGAAATCCGCGATATTTTGCCTTTCACCGGGCCCGGTGCTGTTCCCCCAGCCCGTGAGTTTGGGGGGCTCCGCTTGGGGCCGCAGCTCCGGAGGGAAATGTCCCGGTCCCGGTCCGGGTCCTCCCGGGGCTCCCGCCTCTCCCCGGGCCGGGGTCCCGCGGGTACCCCCTGCTGTCCCCGAGCCCTCCCTGCGGGGCTGGGAAACGGAGCGGCTGAAGGGCAGAGCTGGTACCCCGCGGAGACCACCCCAATTCATTCATTGATTAATGAGTTAATGAGTTAATTAACAGCGAGAACTGCTGCCCTGAGGCGGACAGGTGAGCCCAGGGTGGAACAGGAACAACCCGGGCTCGTCTCCGGGAGGTGCCACCTCCGTGTCCGGGACGTGTGACCGGCCCTGCCCCGCCCCGCCCGTCCCTCGGGCAGCACCGACCTGGCCGGGCCGTACCTGTACCGGGCCGTGCCGTACCTGTACCGGGCCGTGCCGTGCCGTGCTGTACCTGTACCGGGCCGTGCCGGTCCATACCGTGCCGTACCTGTACCGGGCCGTGCCGGTCCATACCGTGCCGTACCTGTACCGGGCCGTGCTGTACCTGTACCGGGCCGTGCCGGTCCATACCGTGCCGTACCTGTACCGGGCCGTGCCCACCCCGGCTCTGCGCTTTCCCCGCAGGAGCCATGGCCGAGACCATCCTGGTGACGGGCGGCGCCGGCTACATCGGCAGCCACTGCGTGCTGGAGCTGCTGCAGGCGGGCTACGAGCCCGTGGTCATCGACAACTTCCACAACGCCATCCGAGGTACGGCAGCCCCGGCCCGGCCCCGTGCCCGGCCTGGGCCCGGCTCCAGCCCCCCTCAATCCCCTCCGTCATCCCCAGGCTCCGAGGAGCTCCCCGAGAGCCTCCGGCGGGTGCAGGAGATCGCGCACCGGCCCGTGCTCTTCCAGGAGCTCGACATCACGGACCGGGCGGCGCTGCAGGAGCTCTTCGGGAAGGTGCGAGCGGGAGCTGCAGGGCCCGGGGCGGCTCCGGGAACCCTGGCAGGGGTGGGAGCCACGGGAGAGGGAGGGAACGCGGTGCCCGCTCCTGTGGGAGCGCCCCGGGCCGGCGGGGCGGGGATCCTGGGGGATCCCAGCCCGTTCCCGTTCCCGTGCCCCTGATCCCAGCCCGTTCCCGCTGTCCTGCCCCTGATCCCAGCCCGTTCCCCTGCAGCACCGCTTCTCGGCCGTGATGCACTTTGCGGGGCTCAAGGCCGTGGGGGAGTCGGTGCAGAAGCCTCTGGAGTATTACCGAGTGAACCTCACCGGGACCATCGGGCTGCTGGAGGTGAGAGGGGCCGGGGGTGATCCCGGGCTGCTCCCCCTGCCCTGCCAGCACCCCCGGAGGGCTGGCACAGGGCACAGAGCTGGATCAATGCTGCCCATTGCCCCTGACAGACCATGAGGGCCCACGGCGTGAGGAACATCGTGTTCAGCAGCTCTGCCACCGTCTACGGGGACCCCAAGTACCTCCCTCTGGACGAGAATCACCCGGTCGGGGGCTGCACCAACCCCTACGGCAAATCCAAGTTCTTCATCGAGGAGATGATCCGGGATCTCTGCAGAGCAGAGAAGGTGAGGAGCTGCCCCGTGGGGCTGTGTCCCCACGCTGGCTGTGTCCCCACGGGGTGACCTGGCAGCCCTGTCCGTGTGTCCCCAGGACTGGAACGCCGTCCTCCTGCGCTACTTTAACCCCATCGGCGCCCACGAGTCGGGGATGATCGGGGAGGACCCTCAGGGCATCCCCAACAACCTCATGCCCTACGTGGCTCAGGTAGAGCCCCCAGAGCCCCCGGGGGTGCCAGGGAGGGGACACAGGTGCTGGGGCTCCACGGGGCTGTCCCTCTGTGCAGGTGGCAGTGGGGCGCCGGGAATTCCTGAGCGTCTTTGGGAACGACTACAAGACTGACGATGGAACGGGTGCGTCAGGGGATGGGGGAATTTGGGATTCCCAAACCCCTGGCCCTGCCCTCACCCTCTGTGTCCCCACAGGTGTCAGGGATTACATCCACGTCGTGGATCTGGCCAAGGGCCACATCGCTGCTCTGAAGAAGCTCAAGGAGAAGTGTGGCTGCAAGGTGCCAACCTCGGGGTGCTGCCAGCCCTGAGGGGGTGTGGGGGTGCCCGTGGGGGCTGAAGGGGAGCCTGGCCCTTCTCCCTTTGATCCCTGTCCTTTATCCTCCTCCCAGATCTACAACCTGGGCACAGGCACCGGCTACTCCGTGCTGCAGATGGTCCGGGCCATGGAGAAAGCCTCGGGGCGGGAGGTAAGGGCAGAGCTGCAGGCTCACAGGGGGAGCAGCTGCTCCCACAGGGCCCCTGATCCCCCCCAGACCCCCGGGACCCCCCGAGCCCTCGGTGCTGCTCTCCCTGCAGATCAAGTACCGGATCGCGGCGCGGCGCGAGGGGGACGTGGCCTCCTGCTACGCCGACCCCGCTCTGGCCGAGCGGGAGCTGGGCTGGAAAGCTGCCTTTGGCCTGGACAAGATGTGTAAGGGCATCCCCTCCCTGGCACAGCGGGCACTGCCAGCCCCCTGCCCTCCCTCACCTCCCTCCTCCCGTTCCAGGTGAGGACCTGTGGCGGTGGCAGCTGCAGAACCCCACGGGCTTCAGCAAGAACTGAGCTGTGACCGAGGGCTGGCTGAGCCCAGGATGCTGTGAGCCAGCCCTGCCTCCTTCCCGAGGGCTGTCACTGTCCTGGGAGGGCACTTCCAGCTCCCCCTCCTGCCTCTGGCATGGGGCAGGAAGGCTGGGGCATCCTCAGCCTCCCCCCTCCTCATCCTCATCCCCCAGGTCTTTGCATCTCACAGAGCAGAACCACAACGAACAGAGAACAGAGCCAGGGCCTGGTTTGGCACCACGGGCCTGGAACCCCCATGGGAAGCCCCGGGGGCTGCAGCCAGCCCGGGCTGGGAGCTCCTGGGCCCTCCCTGTGCATCCAGCCCTGGGACAGCAGAATCCTGCTGAGCCCAAAGTGCAGCAGAGCCCAAACTGTTCCCTCCTGCCCCACCTGGCTCAGGGGGAGCCCAAGGCCCCTCTGCCCCTGCCCTGGCACAGGGAAGGCACCAGGAACCTCCCACAGGGACCACTCACATTCCAAGGCTTCCTCCACTCCCCTCTTTACCCCCAGCATGGTTTTGGGGACCAAATCTCATCTCCCCCTCTCCTGCTGAGCTGGAGAAGCCCCTGCCCAGGGCTGTGCCAGCCTGGCTGCCTGTCCCTGGCTCTGGGCTCCTGTGGCAGCCACTCCCCACAGCCCCAGGCTGCCAGGAGCCAGCCCTGCCCTCCTGTCTCACACTGCTCCTGTTTATTCCTGGCAGCTCCCAGGGCAGGGATGACGCAGCCGGCCCCGTGTGCTGTCGGCTGGATGAATAACTTATGAATTGAGCTTTTGATTTGTTTTTAAAATAAACTTTCCTACTTTCTAAGTGGCAGCTTTGTTCTGCTTCCCCTCAGCCAGAGCTGCTGCCCCTATAAATGGCACCCTGGGGCCTCATGGAACCCGATTCCACCCCAAATCTCCCGTCCTGCCTGGCCAGGGATGACGCCAGCTCAGCTCCGGGATAAGTTGAGGATTTATTTCACCTTGGTTCTCTGTGGAACACACACACACACAAAAAAAAAAAAACCCCAAACATGTACAAGGAAGACAAGAGAGAGAAGAAAAATAACCAAAAAAAACCAAACCCAAAAAGAAAAAAAAAAAAAAAAAACCAGAAGAAAAACCCCAAAGCTGTACTGAGGAATGGAGAGAAGCCGTTCTCCCTCCCGGGTTCCCGGCACTGCTCGGGCAGGGAGTGAGCAGGAATGCTCTGCACAGGGCTGGGCCCGGGCCCCTCACACACGGTTCCAGTTCACAGTCACACAGGTCAGTCTGTCCCTCTCCAGCCCCTGGTGCCCCAGGGAGCTGCTATCCAACCCCTGGTAATGCAGGGAGCTGCCATCCCACCCCTGCTGTCCCCAAGGAGCTCCCATCCCACTCCTGGTAATGCAGGGAGCTGCCATCCCACCCCTGCCAGCCCCTGGTGCCCCAAGGAGCTGCCATCCCACCCCTGGTGTCCCCAGGGTGCTGCCATCCCACCCCTGCCACCCCCTGGTGCCCCCCAGCCAGGCCTGGGGGGCAGGGGCACAGCAGCATTAAAACACAGCATCAAAGAGCCCAGGGCAGGGCAGAGCTGGGCTGCCCCGGGTGCCAGCAGCAGCTCTGCTGCTTTCACACTTCCTAAAAGGAGCAAAGATGGAAAGCCCAAGGCCAGGGCCCAGGCAGGGTGGGCTCCACGCTGCACTCTCCAGAGGGCAGTTATTGCTTTGCACAGCCCGGGCAGGAGGGGCAGGGCTGGGGCAGAACTGCTGGGGCTGAGCCCCCCAGGGCAGCCCTCACCTCTCTGGGGCAGGGCAGGGGGAGCAGGGCCAGCCTGGGGAATGTGGGGGTGCTCTAAAAGCCGTGATCAGCCCCGAGTGGGGGCTCAGCCCAGGGAAAGGGGGTGAGGGCAGAGCTGCTCCACAGCCGCTGCCCTGGGCCCTGTGGGAGGGGAGGGTCAGCCAGGAGCCCCCCCAGAGGAGACATTCGGGGCCCCAGCACGATGCCAGCACTCGGAGGGGACAAAGCCACAGGTGATTGTACATGGGGGGGCAGAGAGAGCCCCGGGGGCACACAGGGAGGGGCACAGCAGCAGCCGGGCTCAGAGGATGGCTGGGAGCAAAGCTGCTCCTTCCAGCTGCACCAGGAGCCAAAGCCGGGGTGCAGGGACCCCCCCTCCCCGAGCCAGCCCCAGTCCAAAGGGAAGGACGAGTAGCAGCAAGAGAAGACATTGAAACGGGGCCGGTGGCTCCGTGAGTGTAAACGAAGCTTTGGGGCTCCCAGGGTGCAGAGCTGGGCTGGGAGCAGGGGAGACGCCTCTGGGATGGAGATTTTGTAAAAGCAACAAGAGGAGGAGGAGCAGGAGGAAGGAGGTGATTGATTATCCCAGGAGGGCAGAGCCGCCCCGATGGCTGAGGGGAGTGTGCGTGTGTGACGGGCGGGGCCGTGCGGGAGCTGCGCTGACCCTGCCCTGGCCCCGGGCGGCCTTTGGCGGTGCCAGCCCAGGGCAGAGCCCGCCCCGGGCCTGCAGGCTCCGCAGGGGAGTCCCGGGTTCCTGAGCCCTCACTGAAAACCCGCGAGTCGCCTGAGGGGGGCCGGGGCAGAGCTCCGAGCCCCGGGGGTGCCCAGCCCGCCCCGCTCCTCCCACCGCAGCCGGGCACGTCCCGCCCTAATACTGGTACAAAAACCCCAAACCCAAAACCTCACCCGCGCCGTGCCAGCCCCGCGGGGCGCCGCGCCGACGGTGACCTTCCCCCGGGAAGCGCCCGGAGCCAGAGCAGGAGCCAACGGGCCGCTGCCAGGCCGGCCTCAGGCAGCCCCGGTGTGGGCTCCGGGAGCAGCGGGACAGCCGGGCAGCCCCGGCCGGGGGACGCGGTGCAGGGCGCGGGCACGGTGGGTGCGGGAGGTGCGCTGGGGGGGCCATGGCTTCCGTTGGCAGCGGGCGGGGCACGGGGACACCTCGGCACCCTCCCCTGCGACAGTCCCGAGGGGCTGGGCTCAGATCCGGGGCAGCAGCTTCTCGATGAACTCCTTCACCGCCATCATCTCCTGCGGGCGGCGCACGGCCGTCACACCGGGGCTGCCCCAAGGGTGGGCCGGGCCCCGGGAACGGGGAACGGGGCTCCCCAAAGGCTGGGATGTGCCCCGGGAATGGGGCAGGAGTCTCTGCATATCCCCAAAGGCTGGGCTGGGCCCCGGGAACGGGGCTTGGGGCTCTGCACATCCCCCAAGGGCCGGGATGGGGCACAAGGGCTCTGTGCCCTCCCAGAGCAAGTCAGGAACAAATATATCTCATGTGTTCCCCACCCTGCCTGACCTGCAGTGCTGGGGTTGGTCCCAAAGATCCCAAAATGAAGGGACCCAAAAGGATTCACTGCCCAGACCCCACAGCAATCCCACCCCGGGCATCCCTGGCAGCACTGTCCTAAGGCTCCTGGAGCTCTGGCAGCCTCAGGGCTGTGCCCATTCCCTGGGGAGCCTGGGCAGTGCCCAGCACCACGTGGGGGAAGAACCCTTCCCTGAAATGCACCCCAGCCCTCCCCTGGCACAGCTCCAGCCATTCCCAGGGGCCCATCACTGATCACCACCCATCCCTCCATGGCCAGCACTGACCTGAGGACAGGAACTGTGCATCACTCCAGGGAAGGTTTTGAACTGCACCTTGGTGGGGGTGACCACAGACTTGAGCTTCTCGGCCGTGAGGGCCCCGAAGCGCACGGGGATCATGGGGTCCAGCTCCCCGTGGCACTGCAGGATGGCGATGTCCTTGTTCACGCCGTTGTTCGCCGCCTGCCAAAAGGAGGGAGGGGACACTCGGGTGAGGGGACACCAACGGTGCTTTGTGCCCCCAACACGAGCCAGCAGCCCCTCCTGGTGAGGGAGGGGCGTGCCCAGGGCAGGGGTACCTGAGGGAAGGCCTTGTGCAGCGGGAGCCAGCAGCTGAGCGCCACGATGCCCGCCAGCTGGTGCTGGCACGTCAGAGCCGTGTACAGCGACAAGGCACCGCCCTGCAGGGGGAACAGGCACTCACTGGGGACCCACGGGGGTGCAGGGACACCCCCAGTGTCAGCTCACACCCTGTGACAGGTGGAGCAGGAACTGGGGACCCTCACCTGAGAGAAGCCCCCCAGGATGATGCGGTTGGGGGGGATCCCATTCTTGATCTCGTGTTCAATGATTGCTTTAACTGCAAGGAGATGGAGAAATGGGTGAGTGGAAGGGGAAAGGGCTGGAAAGCATCACCCCAAGCTTCAGGGTGCACATCAGGGACAGGGAGGTGCCAGGGGAAAGTTTGTGGGATCACAGGCCAGCAGAAACAAAGGAGAGGTGGAAGGAAGACACCTGCTGCAGCCACAGCGAGGGAGAGGCACACAGCAGCTCAGCACCTCCCCTCACAGAGCTCCTTACTGTTTTCTGCAGCTTTCTTGATCCCAGCCTCATCCTCAGGTGCATCTGGAGTCAATCCCATCAGGTCAAACCTGGGGGAAGCAGCAGGGTCAGCCAAAGCCTCTCCCAGCACCCCGAGTGTGGGGAGGCAGGAGCTGGGGGGCTCTGCCCTTCCCCACAGGGCAGTGGATTTTGTCCCCCCATCCCTCTCACTGCCCAAAAAGGTCCCACCCAGCCCTGTCCCCCACGTCACTGACCAGGAGGGCATCACCATCTTCATGTTGAGGGTCACCGGGATGCGGGGCCTGTGGAGGAACATTTGGGGTGGTTGAGCTCAAGTCTGAGGGGAGCAGGAAGGCTGAGACCTCTCCCCTTCCTGCTGAGCCCCCTCCTGCCCGAGCAGGGATGCACTGGGAGCTCCAGAGCCTTTGTCTTTCTCTCCCTGCAGCCACCAGGGATAAACAAGACAGGAAAGAAAAGAAAGGAGCCTCTGGTGCTGCTCACTGTGTGGGAACATGGAGCAGGAGCTGACCATGGCAGCAGAGCTGGGCAGCCCTGCTGGCCTCAGGCCTCCCCCAGCAGCCCTGGCAGCCTCAGGAACCCCCAAGAAGCCCCCCAAGAACCCCCCAGGGCAGCACTCACGCGTGAGGGCAGATGTACTTCACGTAGGGGAGGCGGATGGAGGAGAGAGCATCGGCCCAGCTGTGTCTGGGGAGGGACAGGAGATCAATCCAAGGCTTGTCCGAGCCATTTTCCCAAACCCTGCTGCCCCCAACCCGTCCCCTGAGCTTCCATCAGCCTGAACCTCCCCTGAAACTCCCCCAGAACTGATCCCATCTGGGGGGAGACCACAAAGCCCCAAAGCTGCAGGCAGGGAGGACAGGGAGGAAGGAATCCCCTGGACAGGGAGGAGCCCTTGGTCACCACCATGGGACCCCCGAGGTGGCCCTGCAGAGCAGAGATGCCCTGGTGCAGGCCCAGCCCAGCTGCCAGCCCTGCAAGAGCTGCAGTGCTTATCAGCAGTGCTTATCAGCAATCCCCAAGGCAGCAGAAAATCCACCCGTGGGGGGTGGGGGGCTGCCAGGCTGCCGGGATCATAAATATTCAAGAGCAGCCAGCTCTGGCAGCAGCAATTCCCTGCCAGTCCCCGCCAGGCTGGTGCAGGAGGGGCTGCAGACCCCAGCCCAAAGCCCCACACAGATCCTGGAGATGACCAAGGGAAAGCAGCAGCAAAAGGGCAGGATCTGCCTCAGGCATGCACACATCCCAGGCAGAGCCAGCTCAGGGACACTCACCCCGTGTCGCCAAGGCCATGGAGGAAAATCACCTGTTAAACACAGAAGGGAGGGAATTAGCTGGTGTGAGAGTCACAGAGGGCTGGGCTGCAGGGAGGTGGCAAATGGACACTTAGTCACCAACTGGAAGAGGCTGAAATGAGCGTGGAGCAGCGGATGGGTGGGTCAGGGCTGTGGTGTCATCCTGCCACAGGCAGGTCCCAACTCCTCTGCACAGCACAGGGACAGGGAGTGACAGATCATCCCACCAGGATGGCACCAGAGCCTGAACCCCAGAATGGGCTGGAAGGGATCTCAAAGCGCCTCTAGTGCCACCCCTGCCATGGCAGGGACACCTCCACTGTCCCAGGCTGCTCCAAGCCCCATCCAGCCTGGCCTGGGCACTGCCAGGGGCAGCCACAGCTGCTCTGGGCACCTGTGCCAGAGCCTGCCCACCCTCCCAGGGAGCAATTCCTCCCCTGTATCACCAAGGCCTCACAAATCCACTTCCCCAGGCTTTTCATCTCAGGCTCCAGCAACCCCTGAACCTCAGGGAGCAGAGGGGAGGCAGCCTGCAGACCCCAGGGAAGGACCGACTGGGGGGGTTCCTTTGGGAAATTTGCTTTTAAAACCTTAAACCCCAGTGCCTTGACAAGCTGAGCTCCCACCCTGGAGCAGAAGCACAGAGGGAAGGGGAAGGGAATGGAGCCCTTACCGCGGCGGTCTCCCGCTCTGCCCCTGACACGGTGACAGCGTCGGCGAGGAGGGGGACAGACATGTTGTTACCACACATACACCGAGAGGGGTGAGCACTGGCACCTGCGGGCACAGCCTGGGGTGAGGCAGGAAAACAAACAACAAACAAACCTCCCACCCCCTTCGGCAGCTGCTGCACCCACAGGAGCAGCTGCTTGGAAGAAAATAAAGAGCAGTTTGCTGGTGGAACACCCCACGGTGTGGCCTGGCAGTGCTGGAGGGTCGGGAGCAGCCAGTGCTCTGCGCGTGGGGTGCTGGAAGTGTTAAAATTAGCCTGGAAATGGAAATTACAGCTCAGAGCCAAAGTCGTTCCTGTGGCTGCACCAGCGTGGGCAGAGGGTGGTCAGGCAGCCCAGCCTCAGCATCCCTGCATCCTTCCCTGATCCCTGCAGGTCAGGCAGCCCAGCCTCAGCATCCCTGCATCCTTCTCTGATGCCTGCAGGTCAGGCAGCCCAGCCTCAGCATCCCTGCATCCTTCCCTGATCCCTGCAGGTCAGGCAGCCCAGCCTCAGCATCCCTGCATCCTTCCTTGATCCCTGCAGGTCGGGCAGCCCAGCCTCAGCATCCCTGCATCCCCACAGCCCTTCCCTGAGCCTGACCCACATCTGCTCCCAGCGGGAAGCAGGAAACCCTCGGCACACAGAACAGGCTCTGCTGCACCCACAAAGGTCCAGCCCTGCTTTATAGGGCTGTTCAGGATGAACCAGAGCACTGGGAGCTGCTCTGAGCCCCCCCCAGTGATGGGAGACAGCCTTGTGGCTGCCCAGGGCAGCAGGCAGGGTCAGCAGCACTGTCCTGTCACTGCCAGAGCCCACAGAGCACCCAGCCCTCAGCCACAACAGCCCAGGGTGTTTGCTCCAATACATCACAAATCACAGCTGCCACAGTGCCCTGACCCCACTGGCCACCAGCACTAATTAGATCAGAGCTTGTTTAGGGCACTGCCTTTATCCCCCAGAAACAGGATCAGCCTCCAGAGCACCGTCACAAAACATCCCGAGCTGGAAGGGATCAAGAATCATCCATCCATCCCCAAACCCTGCACAGACCCCCAAAAACGCACCCTGAGCATCCCTGGGGTGGTGCCCAAACACTCCTGGAGCTCTGGCACCCTCTGAGGGAAAACATTTCCCTGAAATCCAACTTAAACCTGCCCTGGCACAGCTCCAGCCTCTCCCAAGATCCCATCTCTGTCCTTTCCTCATCACACTCTGCCCCAGCTTCACCTCCCACAGCAGCACCATCCCAGATCACCCCAAAGCTCCCCCAAAGTGCCAGCAGCCTGCCTTACCCAGGAGAAACAGCCTGCTGCGTCTGCCAGCCTGGCCAGGACCTGCCCGACTCGTTCCACCCACTGCTCGTCAGCGGCTTCCCCACTCAAATAAAAACAAAACCACGGGAACAGAGCAGCTCCCCGGATCTGACACAGCCCCACGGCCCACGTGCACTCCAGGGGCAAAACAAGCGGCCAGGAGAGAAACCACAGCTGCCAAAAACCCGGCCAGGAGAGAAACCACAGCTGCCAAAAACCTGGCAGGGAGACGGAGGGACAGCCAGGAATAAGAGCACTGTCCCCTGGCAGGGATGGGACACGCTGCTTGCTGGGAAACACGGGATGCTTAGAGATGCCCCAGACATTCCTGCTGGAATTACTGCTGGAAACCCTGAAATTCCTGCTGGGAACCCCAAAAAATTCCTGCTGGGAACCGCCACACATTCCTCACGAGAATCCCCAAACATTCCTGCTGGGAACCCCAAACATTCCTCTTGGGAATGCCAAACATTTCTCCTGGGAACCCCAAAAAATTCCTACTGGGACCCCCAAACATTCCTCCTGGGAATCCCAAAACATTCCTCACGGGAGTCCCCAAACATTCCTGCTGGGAATCCCCAAAATTGCTCCGGGAATCTCCAAAATTCCTGCAGGCAATCCCTGCCTGTGCTGCTCCTGCCCCGCTCCCGGAGGGAGCACAATGGGGATGAATCCCCTCAGCCGTGCGCGTGTGGGTGTGATGGCACAAACACAGAGCCAGGAGGTGAATCTGGGTCCGATCCCCGCCGTGTTGCACCCACCGGTGCCACCGGATGTTAATTAGCGTTAATTACCGTGCCTCAGCCTCTCCCCGGGCCCGCGGGGGGCGGAATCCAGCGGGGGCTGCAGCGATGGAGGCGGGATCCCCGGTGTTCCGCCAGAACCGGGGCTCCCTGCAGGCTGCGAGGCCCCGGGGGCGGAAAGTCGCAGCCCCATTATCTCACCGAGGCCCACCGAGCCACAACCGCGTCCGTGCACCGCCGTTAATCCCCGTTAAAGGCCCCGCCGCCCCCCCCCAATCCCCGCGGCCCTCACGGAATGTCCCCCCCCCGTCCCGCAGCAGTGGTACGGCCCCCCCGCCGCGCCGCTGCCCGGTTGCGCACCCCCAGCCCCCCCCGCAGTGCCCGGTGGTACGTGCCGCCCCCCCCCACTCCCCGCACCTCTCCCGGGCCCGGCGCGCGCGCTCCTCGCGGCTCCCCCGACGCGCTCCCACAGGAACTTCCGGCTGCGCGGCGGAAGTGACGCACACACACCGGGAGCGACCGGGCGGCCATGATGGAAACGGGCACCGGAGCGCGCTCGGAACCGCGGCCGGGCCCTCGGGGATTATCGTGACATGGCCGGGCCCTCGGGGATTATCGTGACACGGCCCCGCCCGCCCTGCCCGCAGCGCCCTGCACCCCGCGGATGACCGGCTACGGGGACAGGAGGCCCCCGCCGCTCTCCCCGCCGGTGCCACCCGCGTACACGGGACGGACAGCGCACAGCTCTGCACCGCAGCGTGTTTATTGTCAGTCACAGCCGGTACCGGCCCCGCACACGGCTCGGTGCAGCCTCCAGAGCGGCCCCGCCGCCCCCGGGATGCCTCGCAGCGACCGCGCCGTGTCCGTCCCACAGCCCCGGTGCTCCGGTCGTGCCCCGTTAGGAGATGAAGTGAGTCTGGGGGGTGATCTGTTCCAGCTTGTGGTCGGCGGGGTTCGCCGAGGCTTCGTAGTTGCAGATGGTGACTTCGTGGCGATGAGCCTGGGTGGAGACGGGACATTGAAAATCCGGGAACAGCAGAATTCCGTGGGGAACGGCAGAATTCCACAGGGGAAAAGCAGAATTCCATGGGGAAAAGCAGAATTCCACAGGGGAAAAGTAGAACTCCAGAGGGAAAAGCAGGATCCCACTGGGAACGGCAGGCTCCCACAGATCCCACTGGGAAAAGCACGATCCCAGCCCCTCCCACACTCTGCTCTCACTCACCTCCGTCCACTCCCCCTTCAGGCCGATATAAAAAATCTTGGTTGTCTCAGCTCCGAAGTTCTTTGGGAAGTGCATGGAGAGGTGGTAAACGTTGGAGAAACGGGCGATTCTGCAGGAAAACACATCCTGAGGCCAGAGCTGCTGCTCCTGCACCTCCCCTGAGCCCAGCAAGGGGGGTTCCCTCACACCCTGAGGGGGGACAGGACACCAGGGTGATCCTGCACCCCAGGAATTCCTGCCCCAGGCTCTGGGCAGGACAGAGCTGGGGGTATAAATCCCCCTGAGGGCAGCTGGGGGGCTCTGCCCTGTGCTGCCCCTGCCCCAGGTGTGTGCAGGGCTCCCCTGGCAGGCAGCAGCACCCCCAGGGCCCAGGGAATGGCTCGTACTTGGTGGGATATTCCAGCTCTCCCAGGGGATCCCGGCTCAGGCTGAAGGTCTGCTCTGGCTCCTTGGCTGTGTCATCAAAGGACATGTGAGGAATGTTCCTGAACCTGGCAGGACAGGGACACACAGGGAGTAATTAACAGCAGGTCAGCTAATTGGGTTCCATCCATTAAGAGAAATGGATTTATTTGGTGTCCCCTGTGAGGAGGGGGAGCTGGTTTTACTCACAGCCTCATCTCAGCCGGGTGTGTCCCATCGTCCTCGCCCATCACAATGATGCCTTTCAACTTCACACTGCCTGTGAACCTGCCCAGACACACGGACAGGCTGCTCAGACACACGGACAGGCTGCTCAGACACACGGACACGGTGCCCAGACACACGGACACGGTGCCCAGATACACGGACAGGCTGCTCAGGCACACGGACAGGCTGCCCAGGCACACGAACAGGGTGCTCGGACACATGGACAGGCTGCTCAGACACACGGACAGGCTGCCCAGGCACACGGACAGAGTGCTCAGACACACGGACAGGCTGCCCAGGCACACGAACAGGGTGCTCGGACACACGGACAGGCTGCTCAGACACACGGACACGGTGCTCAGACACACGGACACGGTGCCCAGACACACGGACAGGCTGCCCAGACACACGGACAGAGTGCTCAGACACACGGACAGGCTGCCCAGGCACACGAACAGGGTGCTCGGACACACGGACAGGCTGCTCAGACACACGGCCAGGCTGCTCAGACACATGGACACGGTGCTCACACACACGGCCAGGGTGTTCAGACACACGGCCAGGCTGCTCAGACACACAGAGCTCACCCCTGGGCTCTCCAGGCAGCCCCAGGGCAGGGAAGGAGCCCTGGCAGCAGCCAGGGCAGTGCCAGGGGATGGAACTCACGGGATGTTGAAGAGCAGCTCCTCATCATCGTCGCTTTCCACGAACTGGGGACAGAGAAGAGCAGGTCAGGGGTGTGCAGGGTGTGCTGGGGACAGCTGGAGGGATCACCCCAGCGGGGTTTAGGGGGCCCTGATTCTCTTGCTCAGAGAACCCCAGATTGTTTAGGATTGGAAGGGACCTCTGGAGATGTCACCAGGTGGCACAGGGACACGTCCAGGTGGGTTTGAGATGTCCCCACACAGAGAGACTCCAGCCCTCCCTGGGCAGCTGTTCCAGGGCTCTGCCACCCTCATGGAAAGAAGTTCTTCCTCACGTTGAGGTGGAACTCGTTGTGTTTTAGTTTATGGTCCTTACTCATTGTCCTGTCCCTTAACAGAGCCTGGCACTGTCCTCTGACAGCCCTTGGGGATATTTTATGGGTTTATGGGGTCCCCTCTGACACCCTTGGGGATATTTTATGGGTTTATGGGGTCCCCTCTGACACCCTTAGGGTATTTTATGGGTTTATGGGGTCCCCTCTAGCCTTCCCTTCTCCAGCCTGACCAGGCCCAGCTCCCACAGCCTCCTCCCGTCCTGAGCGGCCCAGACCCGTACACCGCGCTCAGCTGAGCCTCCCTGGGGCCGAGCCGAGGGCAAGATCCCCTCGGTGCCCCGGTGCCCGCCCCGCTCCCCGGGCCCTGCTCCCGGTCCCACCTGCGATCGGTCCCCGCGCTCCTCCCAGGGCCGGAACACGGTGGCTCCGGAGCCCTCGCGGCGCTCGTTGAGGCACTGCAGGCGCTGCCGGTCGATGCGCAGGTAGAGCCCCCAGGCCGCGCCGCGCTCCGCCGCCTCCTCCCCGCAGCAGCGGCACCGGCCGGGCCCGTGCCCGTGCGCCATGGCCGCGCCGCCACAGCCCAGCGCGCATGCGCGGCGCCCGGACACGCCCACACGGCGGAGAGGACACGCCCTTCTGTCACCTAAACCACGCCCATATTGCTCATAGGCCGCGCCCATCCCCCTGACGTCACCGCATGTATTAATTAGATACGCCCTTGTGCCCATGGCCACGCCCACGCAAACCGGTGATTGGTCCGTTGTGTTGTAGCCACGCCCATATGAGGCGTGGTCTGGCTCTGCACGTGCTGAGCCCGTGATCCGCCCGCTGCTCCCGGGGAGGGGTCCCGGTGGTCCCGGGGAGAGGTCCCGGTGGTCCCGCCCCGCCCGGGGAATGGCTGCTGCTTTCCCACAAAGGCTCCGGGGGTATTATCCGCGGGGATCGTTCCAAACAGCGCAGGAACGGGAGCAGCACCCCCGCCGGGATACCGGGAGCGGGCTACCGGGAGTGGGATACCGGAGCATCACCCTCCGAGTAGCCACGGAGTTTCCCCATGGTGTGTGTAACGTTCGTTGTCAGTGTCAGGAAAGAACGAGCAGGCACAGTCCAGTGTTGGGCTTTTATTGAGACATGATTCTCCTCTTTTTTTCATATAACTTATCTAATTAAAATATTCATCTTAGTTACCACAAAAAAAGGAACATAGAAAATTGTATATATATATACACAGAGTTTGGGACCAAAATACAAATACGAGTCACTCCCCCTCCTCCTCCTCCTCCTCCTGCAGGGATGGGTGGGAGGAAGAGGCAGCTCTGCTCCACCTGCAGCGTGTGGAGGAGCACAGAACAAGCGCACAGTGTCACAGTCCGAGCACTTTGATCCCAGACTTTGCCTCGAGTGTCCCCAGGGAAATATCCCTGCTCTGCTCCCAGCTCAGGGCCGGTGCCAGCCCCTCCCCAGGCTGGATTTAGTGCCTGGGCAAAAGGAAGGGATGGGTGAGGGGTTGGCATCGAGGGGTTGGCATCGAGGGGCTGGCATCGGCCCTGTGAGAGCAGAGTGACACCAGTGTCACCTCCCTGCAGTGCCACAAACAGAACAGCCACAGCTGGCAAAGCCTGGAGCAAAGGGGGAGCTCTGAGAGGGAAAGAGCAGCAGTGCTTGGGCCATACCCACAGCCGAGTGTGAGATCAATGAGTTGGCAGTTTAGCAGTGCCCAAATCGCTCCTGGGCATCGCCCAGATCCTGTGCTCAAAGCTCCACCGTGTCTGAACCACACCAGGCTCTGCTTCCCTCCCCTCTGCCCCCACCCCGAGCACAGAGGAGAAATGAAGAGTAGCACAAGGGTCAGCAGAAGAGAATATATTGTTATCTAATTAAAAATACAGCAAAATTAAATACAGCAAAACCACGGGAGAGTAAAGGAGCCATTATCTTACAGCACAACACACACTGAAATGCTGCACGGGGACATTAAAGCATCTGGGACTGTAACAAACTTACAGCACATGAGAGTCTGAGAACATTTTTTCCAAGAATTCCAAACTAAACAAAGAACAGACCAAATAAACAGGAGGCAGGTGTTCAGAATGCTTTTAAAGAAAGACATGTCTTCTAAAGCAGGTGGAAAAAATGAAAAAGGAAAGAAACAAACAACCCAACAGAAACCAGAAGCAAAACAGGGATTTTTTTTTGAGCCCTCCAGGGAGGACCCTTCACAGCAAGGTTTCCCCCGGTCAGTGCACACAGACATTGGGATTTGGCAGCCATGGAAAGCCAGCAGAGCTTCTCAGGAGCTGCCAACAACAACAGCATCCACCACCAGCATCTCTTCCACCCAGACAGCAAAGTCCTAGGGCAGCAAATATGGCTTGGAACAGGAGAATCCCGACCCAGAGACGCCTGGGGTCTCCCCAGCCCCATCCTGTGCTTGCAGCACCCCTGGGGTTCCCTTTGGGGCAGACAAAACACGAGCAGAAACCTTCCCCAGGCACAGCCCACAAGCAGAAACCTTCCCAGCAGCACAAACTGTGCCCAGCCCTGTGAGCCCAGCTGCCATCCCCACATCCCCAGCAGGGCTCTGACCTCCCCAGGAGCTCCAGGGCACCCCCTGGCACCCCCATCCAGCCCCTTGTCCCTCCTGAGCTGCAGCTCCTCACACAGCAGGCACAAGGGAGCCTCTGGAGCCCCTGCTCTGAAGGACACACACGTGTTACAACAGCCACATTCCCTTGCTCACTTCCCTCCAGCCTCATTCAAGTGGTTTCAGGCTCAAAGACCAAAATCCTTGGATTTTTCCAAAGAAAGGACAGAGCAAAACGTACAGGGAAAAGACTTTAGGATCTTCCAAACTGGAAATAAATCCTTTGCAATTCCACACAGAAAACAAGAAGAATTCCTTCCTGCTTCCCACTAAAAGAGGCAAACGATGCCTTCACTGCTATTTAAAACCTGGTTTCCATTGCAAAGTCCCCAGTCTCTCTCCAGATAAAAAGTTAAAATCTGACTTGATGCACAGTAAAAGTGCTCCCAAATCCCTGGCAGTTTCATTCCCAGCAGGCAGCAGAAGACAACAGCAGCAGAGGAAACGTCCCCAAAGGCTCTTGGCATCCCTGCAGGACCACAAAAGCACCTGGACAGGATCTACAGCAACAGCACAGAGAGGGTCAGGAGCTCAGATTTTATTGACACACACGAGCAGGGAGCAAAGCCAAAGGCCTGGCAAGTGGCTGGGCCACTGGCCCTGCCTGTCCCAGAGTCTCCAGGTGAGACTTTGGGCCCAGCAGGTGACAGGAAAGGCTCCTGTGACACCCAGTGTCCCCTCAGATGGATTCCAGCTCGAGTCACACCCTGGCACTGGGTTGGGAGGGAAGGGACTACTGGGAGCAACATAAATAATGCAACAGGGTAGAGGGGCAAAATATTAATTAAAACCATTTTATAATTTATTAAGAGGTTAAATAATTGTAAATAAGTCTCTGGATCTTCCATTCTCAGCAGGCGCCAAGATTTCACATTTTCCTGTGTCAGGAGATTCTGTACACCCTTCTTTCGAGGGATGACAAAGCCAGAAACAGAATGTTGGGGACAGGGGGGTAAAAGAGGGGGGGCTTGACACTGAGAAAGGGACCAGAATAAAAGATAAAATACTGTGCCGTCATCTTGTGCAGATCAAAGCTTCTCCCAGCAGCTGCAGCCTCCAAAGAGTTCAAAGATAAGGAAGGGCTGTTTGGGTGCCTTCTCCCCCTCCAGTGCCACTCCTCCCCAAGAGAGAAAGGCCCAGCTCAGCACTGCAAACTTATCTCCGAGAGAACCTGTTCTTGAAAGCTTTGATAGTCTTTGCCATCATTGGTGCAATTTCTGCAAAAGAGAAAGGAAAACACACCACCACTGAATCAAACGAAAAAGCCCCCACAGGAAAGGAAAAGTGATGGAAGAAGAGCTGAGAGCAGTTGGAAGCTGCAGCCCTGGCAGACAGGAGGGTTTGAGCGGGGCCCATCACAGTTTTTAGGTCACAGACTGAGGAGAAGGTGCTGCTTTCTGCACTGCACCAACACAGATCCCTGGTTAAACCTTCCAGAGACAGCTGCACTCCAATTCCAGACAGCTGGACAGACACAGGGCAGCAGGAGGACAGACAGAGGTTCTGCCTCACTGGTACCATCAGGACAGGCTGATCCAGTCAGCTCCGAGTGGGTGAATCAAATATTTGCAACAAGTTTGAACAGAGAAAGAGAGAGGAGAGACACCACCACCAACCCTCCTGCACAGCAGGAATCCTCCCCCAGCAGAAGCAGCTGTTCCTAAGCTCTGAGAGGCCACAGGGGTGTGCTGCAGGCTGTACTTACTCTTCACAGGGGGTTTCCTGGGGTCGTAGGAGGAGAAGGTGCTACCTGAAGACGGGGCCGAGTGGGCGCTGCTGGTGCTGGGCCCATCGTAGGACTGCTCGTCACTGGCCCGAGCGTGGCTTTTGCTGGGGGGGTACAGGACTGGTTTTATTCTGCAACAGACACAGCACAGGCATTGCCACAAAGGATTCACTTTGAGTTGATTCTACAGATACAAGGCAGGTTTGTAACAGCAGCAGGGCTGATACAAGGTGGAACCAGCAGGATCTCAGCGCTTCCCAAGCAATTACAGTTACAAGTTTCCCTGCAGAAGGAGCTCCCAGACACACAGTATCCTCTCCTGAGCTTCAGGGGGCCCCGAGCAGCGAGTGCTACAGAGAAACACTCACTTGGTCTTCTCTGGCAGGAGAGGGCCTCCAGTTCCAAACTTCTCCTGCCTCCTCCGAACGTCCCGAGGGGGCTTGGCTGCAGAGTTCACAAATGCCATCTTGGCCACTCTCCCTGCAAGAGTCAGAGGGAAACATCACTTACATCCAGCTGGCTATAAAGGAGGGTCCTCACTGCTTATCTTCTTCATCCACCCCTCACAGTCCATCCATTCCAAAGAAACAGTGACAATCTCCTTCTCAAGGTCTGAACCTCTCAGAGTGAGAAATCAGACTGATCAGCTCAGCAGTTCTCATTATGTTCACCCAAAAACCAAAAATGTTTCCCCCCACCCTGCCAGCATGGAGAAGCCACATGGAAGAGGAGCCTGCTCATCATCACTGTAAAATACTGAGCTGCATCAACACCATCAAGGATGAAATCGAGACACCACTAAACCACGAAACAAAGGAGCACACAGAGCTAAGCAGCTCCTAAACTGGACTGGTTTTAACCCAGCTGGGCTCCCCCAGCCCCACCTTTGGGTTTGTTGGCGTGGGCAGAGCCGATGTTGTGTGCCAGCATGAGCAGGCGCTGCTCGCGCGCATTGTGCAGCCGCAGGTATGTTCACCCAAAAACCATTATGTTCACCCAAAAATCGTTATGTTCACCCAAAACCCAGAAATGTTTCCCCCCATTCTGGTTCTCTTCCATGCCACCATGGAGAAGCCACATGGAACAGGAGTCTGTTCATCATTGCTGTAAAATATTGAGCTGCATCAACACCGTCACGGATGAAATCAAGACACGGCTAAACTACAAGGCAAGGGAGCACACAGAGCTAAGCCTGGCTAAACCTTCCA